CACCAAATTTATGAGGCTGGTTGCTTTGAAGTAGCCTGAATGGCGTTCGTTTAACTATCTACCGACTTCGAAGCGTTTTACCATTTTTTTTATCATCACAAAGTGAAACCACGTCTCATTGTTCATATTTGTTGTACAGCCTTGCAAAGTTGATCCACTGTTTATCTACCTCCCTTTGGTGTTTTTTAGTCACTTTCTCTTTTCCTCTTGTTGGTGGTAGAAACTAGGCTAGTGTTTGAAGCTTTTCAAACTTATTGTAGAACTCTGAGAAGGGGAAACTCGATGGCACAACATCCAACACACGGTAGAGTGCACTTTTTTGATCCCTTTCTCCTCTGTCCGCAGTTACGCCAACCTGCACTGCAAGTTATTGTTGGGGTATGCGAAAGGCGCAGACTACTCACCAGGCATGCGATTTTCGGGCGCCGCTGCAGGCCAGCACTCATGGAACGCGGTGTTAGTGGATGGGACGTGGCACTTGGTAGATTGTCACTGGGCAGCGCGGCGGCTCATCGTGAAACGTGCAAGTGTGGAGAATGTGCGTTACATTCTGGACACCTTCTACTTCCTCACCAATCCCAGCCAACTCATCTATACGCACTTTCCACACGATAAAGACTGGCAGCTCCTCCACCATCCCATTACTCTGGAGGTACGATCTGTCTATTCTTATGACCTAAATTTGTCCATTCATCTAGGGTCTTTCCACTCAAGCATTTGCCTTCATTCATTCATTCACCCGTCCATCCAACGGCACCAAATGCAGTTCACACTTGCTGATTTCCATAATCTAGCATTCATCCCACTAAAAGTGCGTTGTTTTACATCAAGAGGCGGAACAATTGTGCATTGTCAGGTCTTGTAATTTTTGACAGACTTCAAGCAAACCTTTTTAAATTTCGTTCCTCCGTTTGTTGCCAAAGGCGCATACTCTTACCTTGTCTTGCTGCAATCTCCAGCGCCAAACAGTGGAGTGGAGTTAAACTCGTTGACAATAGTAAACACATGTCATTAGCGCAGAGCTTTTTTGGTACCGTTTGCTTTGTGCTTTAATTGCAGGAGTTTGAGGCGCTGCCTTTGGTGAAGTCGGCATTCTTTAAGTACAACCTGAGTTTGGTGAGCCATCGCACTGCAGTGATTCTCTTCTCGGACCCTGAGGTGCGTGTGGTGATTGGTTACCCAAAGGATGCAAACAACACCTTCCTCTTCACCATTGGTCTTTCTTTTGACGACTCAGAGTCGAGTGAACACTACAATAATATCTCGCTCATGTGAGTTTCACCTTTCCTCCTCATTTGTCAATATTAATGTGTATAAACTCTGTATCTTCCAAAGTGAGTGCTGAATTAGGACGATATGTTTTCATCATTTGCTAGAGTTTGCATCAACGATTGGATAAACACTAATGATGAGGCAAAAATAATGCGCAATGTTTAGCTGTTGGATGATTGTTTAAACGGTACCATTTCCTGTGGCTTTACAAGACCTCCTCATTCATTTTCAACAAATACATGCTCACATCAAGTGGCCTACGAGCGAACATCTGTGATCGACTAATCGGTCTACCAGCAAATCCGCACCTACTCAAATTTCATGCAAACTGTATGGCCTTCTTTAAATTACCGAAACGACAATTTCCGCAATTCCCAGGTTCATGCACCATCATGCCTGTTGAAAGACTCGAAATTTATCTACAGAAAAGGTGATATCAAGCAATCTATCGCGTCCTAATCATCAAATAGTACAAGTGACTGTTAATTTTCTATTTTTGTTGATAGGTTAGAACTGCTTTTTACCTGGATTTGAAGTACATCCCTTTCAGATCATATGCGAAAATTAAGTTTCAAATACCACAATCTGCTAACTCCTCTAAGGCTGTTCTTTAATCTGCACGTAGGCGATATGCACGACAAGAGGTGGTGGCACGTGAGTGCTGCGTGGCCTTCTACATCCGTCCACCGAGACCGGGTGCCTACAAATTGTTGGTGTATGCGAAGAAACGCGATGGCAGTGGCATGGACGGTATCTACCGAGAGGAAGAGGCACCTGGAATAAGTAGAGCAGCAGGCGAAAAGAACCTTTATGGTGCAGTCTGTGAGTATCGTCTCATGGCTCGTACACCCTCCAACGCTTGTCTTCCACCATTCCCGCCCTGCCAGACCGGGAACTATGGTGTTACTGAGGTTTGTGTCTCTACATCTCTACGCCCATGCATCCACGCATATTGAAATAGTCATGAGTAAGCGACCCAAACCAGTACTTGACGTACAACAAAGCAGTGCATCAAATTTAAACTTCCAACGCCCGGAATGTGTACTGATATTTGAGAACTAAGCATTCCACCTTAGACCTCAGAAAATCTTCACATTTTAGGAATAGATTTCGTAAAAGCTGATAGATTGAAAATAACTTGCTACAGAGCACCCACAATTTGCACTGAGAGTGACTTTGTAATCTGTCTCTTCAAGAAGCAAAAATTGCTCTCTCCCCTTATTGGGGATTGCGCTTCCCAGGAATTTATAGTATCCAATTGGCCCTCCATTGAAGATCCTCCATGAACATACTTCACGATATCACGTTATTTCTCCACGGTTATTTGTTCTGAACTTTCGTCCAAGTGTCATTGGTCCGAAATTTGGTCTCACACTCCGTCTACCAATGCATCTCAATGCAGTTGGGAGTGTTTCAGCAACGTAGGCTTTCATTCACTGAGTGGAAGAAAAACGACAACTAGTGAAGAGCTTCTGGTGTCTGATTTCAAAATCTTCAATCGGTAACAGTAGTATCTTGTACTTGTTAGAAGCTAGACTGGATACTTATATGACGAGCGTATCTGTTAGAGTCGCAACCATTCGCCTTTACATTGCAGATGTTCAACCGTTTTAACGTGGTACCAATAGGCCCAGAAGCGAACGAAGCAACTCTTAGAGCCCGAAATGGCGTCGTAGAGGTGCGGTTTGCTTTGATTGGCGGTTCACAGCGCCCTATGCCGCGGATGATGGGGCGATTGCGTTGCAGCCTTCTGCCCGAAGAAGACCTCGACAACTGCATTCTCTACCGAGTGCTCAAGAGCGGCACGGAAGCTGTCATCACTGCGTTCCTTCCAGACGCTGGCGA